TGACACATAATTTCCTCGAGCACCTAAGTAAGGGATGTTAATTCGATCTAAATTTGAATCAGATGTACTGATAATATCCGCAATATAAATCTTTAAACTTCTTCTTACCTTTAAAAGTCCGTCACGAACGGTCTATTATGCTGCAACTCTAGAGCTCTGCTAGCCTTGGCGCTAACTTCCGGGGAACGATTGAGAGGCTCCACGATCCGCCATTGCTGTAAAAAAGTGATCCATTGGAGTGAACGGAGATGACGTAACTCTCAGTCTATACGGCGCTGGGTCCCATGGAGGTCCACCGGAAGAGGAGGGACTTCGCCACTCTATTTAATGAGCTTGATGCAACGCACCTGAGAAGGCACACTCAGCAGAGGACAAACAATTCACTGTGAGAGAGTGACCAAAGACGCTGCTGGTAATAGATTTGTACAGGTATTTATCTGTTTGAAGACATGTTTGATTAAATGAATTATTATTTCTAGTCTTATGAGGTATTAAGCTAAAATATAAGATGCTGGAATATAATTTACTTTGTTGAGATGTATTTACTTTTGATTACATGTTAAGTTTAATTGTAACTTGATTGCATTTAAAAACCATGGAGCAGAAATGAAAGTGCTTGTTTAAGTATGGCATGTTTTTCATTGAAATGTTTATTTGACGCAAGGCAAGGCAAGTTTATTTATATAGCACTTTTCTGTATGCGACAATTCAAAGTGCTTTACAAAACAAATTAAAAGACTTTTAAGACTAAAGTGAATGAAAGTGTGTTTAAGGTTTTCAACCTAAATGATGTGACAGGAAGCTGAATGAAGGCTGAATGAAGCAAAAACGAAATCCACAATAACTCAAATAAAGAGGAAGGATTCAAATTTGAGTTGCCCCGTGTGTCCTTTTGGAGTGAATCAAGCCATTTTAAAGTTTTAGGTAGGAGGCAATCGAGCAAACCAAATCATAACTTGACAATATGGAATATACTCTATGTCCTTGCACAAATGTTATATAGCATTGTATTTCTATTTTTGTGTATATGTATTACACATTCTCCCTTTGATGCAGTTGAATATGAATAAATAAAACATATTTATTTTAAATACTTGTTCTTATGAGTCCCCTTTTTGTGTGGCCACTTCAGCCAGGTCAAACAAAACAGTTGCTCAAGGTTTCTGTTGACATGTCTTAGAATGATCACAGAAGGCATGATATAAATGTGCCCAGAGTGAAGTCCTTGTGGCGAGTTACCTTCGAATGCCTATTAAAGAAGAGAACAATTGTGAATAAATCTTTCTAAAAGTCTTTCATACATTCCTGCATGATTTCTATTTCAAGCCCTTACCCACACACCAAAGCATGTATATCTGGGGACCAGCATTGCTTTCTATATACCCATGGTTTTTGTCTCAGACTCCTTTTCACATATCATCTGATATAAAAAAACACTGCTCGTGCACGATAATAGAAGGGTGTAGCGGTTGGTGTCTGCTTTGTCAGGACTCCTTACTTCCTCTTAGTTTCTCTGCAGTTCAATCACTCATACACAAGGCCCTCAGCAGCCGAGGAAAAGGGTCACCACGGAGTTCAAGTATTTCATTAAGGTTTCCTCCAAAAGCCCTCAGAAAAAAAAGAAATGTACATTGTAAATACCATGATATTAAACATTTTCCATCCTACTATCTTTTATGTAGTGTCAAATAGCTTTGGGTTACTGCAAATTAACTAGGATTTACCATTTAGTTCTGCTATTTTAGTTTGTGCCATGGTAGAGCTTTTGCCTGCAACTAGATGCAGAAACCCATGAATATGAAGAGGAACAAGCTGTGTGACAAACTAAATGTGGATTACTAAAACATCCCCGACATAACATCGTGAATGAGATGGACTGAACAAATAGAACACACGTTCCCGCCTAAGTTCCTGACCTGCATGCAATTCTTCCAAACAATTCAGGCAAGGTTGAATTGTTGGTTGCCGGTCTCCCTTGAAAAAGAGATTGTTGATCTCAATGGGATTTTCACCTGGTTAAATAAAGGCTACAAACAAACAAACAAGCAAGGGCCGATTATGAGACCACAGTCATGGGCAGCGAAATGCCAAAGGATCCACCACCTTTTTCACCCTGGGGACAGACACACTTATGGCTGTCGTTAAGCCTCTTTCTGTTTTTAGTTGTGTTTCTTAGTATTTGTTGAGAATCTCTCTGTGATTTGGTGGCTCTTTGTTTTGGTATTTTTTGTCAGTGGTTATTTCCCTTTCTTTTTGTAGAGGCTTTGAGTCTCTTTCTGTAGACAATTTAAATTTTTGTTATTGTTTTTCATTGAGTGTTTTTGATTCTCTTAACAGCTCTTTTGCCTGTTTTTGTAATCTTTTGTGTTTGAGTGACTTTTAGTAGGGGAAGTTCACGAGGGGTGCTGACACACTGGGACCCTGGGATTGTGCTAGCGATAAATCCATGCGAACATACAAGAGAACACTTTCGCAATAGTCTATTCTTTGAGGATTTTAAAGATACATTAAAAATAATCATTACAATTTCCAATTAAAACAAGTCCATTGTAGTCCATTTGATGAGCACATTTCAATTTTTTTATATAATGAATTGTATTCAATATGAGACAGAAGTTGGACAAAATGAATATAAATGGGGGTCACATACTGCCACAGAGACGCAAGGTCTTCTGCAGGGTTGAGGTCCGGACAGATGGGAGGCATCACTCAAACAGCCAATGACCTCGTTGCAGCTTTTTATTTCCTGTTACTGTTTGTACGTGTATATATTCAGGATGGTTTGGGCCATATAGAGAATGCTGATGAAATGGCTGTTTCATGTACATCATGAGGTAACATTCACACAGAAGCCTGACATAGCAGAGTTAACATACTATGGAATCGTTAGCCAGGGTCATCAACTTGAATTGTCCAATGGTCAGAATTTTTCGGAGTAGGGCATGGATTAAAAAAAAAAACTGTCATTGTCTAACATTTTAACTTAACAGATTGATGTTACCCTTATCAACCCAAATCAATGTGGACTCGCAAAAACATGTAGAAACAATAATGAGATACTTATAATATGTCCTTATGGGGATAATAACGTTTATTGTAAATGAGCTTTGAGTTTGTTCCTATTTTTGCATGAAGTTACGGCACAACCTGCATTGAATTAACGGAAGCCCAGAGTAATTATTTGAACTCTTATATCGGGTTTTCTACTCACTGATAATAACAGAAGGATGGATTTACTATTCATATCAATAATTATCAAAATACTGTAAGATATTTTCCACAAAATGCATTTCCTTAAATATATGCATGCTGGAACGAAGTTGTGTAATGGATCTGACTCAGACTATTCCCCAATATGCTGAAGTAAAAACTGCACATTCTGCATCTTTGTGTTTTTGTGAAATCTTTGACATCCGTTCAATGTAACATCTGTTCACATTGTGAAATATTCCCTTGTGACCTTGGAGGAGGCAGGTGTTTATTATAACCAAAAACACCAACCAATTTCAGTGAAGAGTTTAAATGTGCTTATGGTAGAGGTGTTAAGATCAGTCTTGGAATGTTACATATATCTTGAGTTTAATTTCAATCATACCTAAACCAGATTGTTTGTATTAACTCAACAGCAATAGGAAGGAAGTGGCTCTGGCTCCGCCCACTGAACAAACATCAATTTCAAGTCAACTGGCCACAATTGTAAAGAGAGTAAGTTCGGACTGTATTGAAGCATAAGCGCAATGCTTTTGCAGGGTGAAGTTCTAGGAAGCCAGTAGGTGAGATTCTGCTATCCAAGATATCCAATACTTCATAGTGCATCTTTTCAAAAAGCACAGGTAAGGTTGACTTTGTTTATATCCTAAATTCATGGTGTTTAAGGTCTACGTTTGGTATTATTGCCCAATAAAATACTAAACCTAGAGATTCATATTTGTATTGCAACCAGCAAGTTTTAGCACCAAGACAATGTTTGCAGATTAATAAAGTCTGGATTATCCTATTCATGTCAGGACAGGAATTTACTGACAGGGAAGGAATTACAAATGGAGAGATTATTTATAATGACATTGTTGGGAATACCTATTCATGATATTTTAGAGGATATTACTACTGTTTTTTTTATTTGCTAGTGAGACCCCATTTCATGAAGCAGATCCAAACATGACCGTTGAGTACAGTTCCTCTACAGTGACAAACATGGATATGGACAACAACAAAGTTGGCTATAGCCAATTCTTTGAAGATGGCAGCAAGCTTAGGCATTCAGGTAATACACTAAGAATTTCCTTTCAAAATAATTTTCAGCTCACTATTCAGTTCCACATCTAACTACTTACCAACTTTGTATTTTAAGAAGGTACACATGGCACTTTGGGATAGCAGGGGGAAGTCAACTGACACTGATTAAATGTTGTCGACTTATGATGCTGATTATCTATTGGACAGATGTTTTGTATTTTTTCCACAAAGAATCCTGCAGAAGCACTACTTAAATCTTGTGTTAGATGAATTTAATTCCTCTGTTCATATAAATCAAAATCAAACAACACATACTAATATAAGTTACTGTCAGTATCAGCAGACTCCAGTTAAAAATGATATTGCCACCATTTTAATAAAGGTGGTACAGGTCATCACAAAAAACATTTGAGAAGCTTTGTGTTGGTATTTGTAATATTTTCTGAAGAACCTGCAGTTTCAATAATTTAAGTTTCTGCGTCTATTCTTGCTGTCCCTCAGTTTATGCTTTGAGGAACAGACCTTTCAAGCTTGCTACAGTCTGTCTCGGGCTGCTGTGCGTTCTCCTGTTGGCTGTGGTCATTGGTCAGAGTGTCCACTGTAAGTCCCTTCCTTGTCTCTGTCAAATATACTAGTTTCAAAAAGTTGGCTGATGTCATTTTAAAATAACTGTTATTTATCTCCATCTCCCACAGACAAAAAAGCAGAGCAAAACCATCAGAACAACTTAACAGCCATGAGTAACGAGAGAGAGAAGCTGCAGGAGAACATGAAGACGATGCGAAATGAAAAAAAAAACCTTGAGATGAAGCGCAATGACTTACAGCAAAAAAATGATTTCCTATCTAAAAGAAAAGTTGAGCTACAGATCAATAACAATATATTGACCAGAGAAAGCAGCAGTCTAAAACAAAGCCAAACCGAGTTAAAGGCCAATAACGATGCTTCCATCAAAGAGGTAGAACAGCTTAAAGCCAGTAAAGAACAGCTCCAGACTACTAACAATGACTTGTCTACTGCTAAAGACGTGCTACAAAAACAACACGATTCAGTGTTCAAACGCAAAAATGAGGTACAGGCCAGTTATGAATCAGTGACCAAAGAGAGGGACAATTTACAGAACAAATTCAATAATGCAACCAGATCAAGAGAGCAACTACAGTTGAAGTTCAATGAAATGATTAATAAAGTTGAGCATTTGCACGACAAGTACAACTTCTCCAACAGTGAGAAAGAGAAGATAGAAAGCAGTCACCAAAATCTAACAATATCCAAAGAAACGCTGCAGGCCACCTACGACGTGCTTGCGAAAGCCACAGATGAGTTGCGGACTAATTACAAGTCCTTGGTAAAGGAAAGGGATGAGCTTGAAAACACTTTCAAAAATGCCACTGTGGAGAAAGACCTGTTGAAGGTGAAAAATGACAACCTGACTACTGAGAGGGACGTGTTGCAGGTGGAGGTTGATAGACTAAGTGCAGCAGTTCCAGGTAAGCAGAAAGAATAAATAAGTAAAAATAACCAATTTGGCCCGAAAATGTATACATCTGGATTGAAAGGGAAAGATGCAACAACATTTGTTCTGATTGCTTTGAAGTCTGTCTATCTGCACCTGTAACAGTAAAAGATACATTTGTTATATAGCATTTTTAACAATTGACAAAGTCAGGATTGGGGTTTGATGGTGTCTTGATAGTCCTTGTGTCTTGCATTTTTTCTTTATACTGCATACATTATGTGTTATTACTTTTTCTGCAAATATAATGAACCATAACCCTAAAATCAGTATTCCCATGTTCCTAAACTATACACATAGTATGATAAGAAAAAAAACTAGCTTTTCAAGTTAACCACATTTTTTTAAATGTCTCCAGATTTTTGCAAAGGCAAGGCCAAAGTAAACTTCAAGTAAAATCCAAATTTCAGTTTGCGAACAAAGAGCATGTTTTAAATGTTCCAAGTTAACCACAGACACGCGCAAAAAATGCATTCTAATTTGTAAACATAATTGATTAATTCCTCTTTGGCATTTTTCAGCTAGCAACTGCCCCTCTGGTTGGACGAGATTTCAGAGCAGCTGCTACTTCACCTCTGTTGAAAAGATTAGCTGGCGTCTGGCCAGGGAAAACTGTCAAACCAAAGGCGCAGATCTGGCAATAATAAAAAGCACAGAGGAAATGGTTTGTCTTGTTCTGTTCATATTTCTGTTCCTGCACAAGTGAGTGTCAACATAGACATTGTCATTGATGGTGTTTTACTTTGTAAAGCTACACCAAACAATATTCTTACATTAACAAGATATCAATTGACTTTTTGCTCGGTTTTGGCTTGGAATAACATAGCTTTCACAAAAATTACAACGTTAATATGGCAAAAGTGTTCGGTGAATATTCACTAAATCGGAGTCGAGGGTCCCATATTTACTCTTTTTTATCTCTGTTTTTGGCCACCGCCGCCAACCGTGTGTATCTTTTTAATATGTTCAGCAATTTTTTGCTAACTTGAATTATACCATCATTTCATCTATCATTAATAAAGGAAATGCATCTATGACTTTATGTTTGCAAAACCTCTGCAATTGTTTTTCTCTGTCTCATATAGACCTTTGTGAATGGCTTATATTCAACTGATAAGGAAGTCTGGATTGGTTTGACGGATGCAGGAGTAGAAGGGCAGTGGAAATGGGTTGATGGGACACCGTTGACCACTCCGTAAGAAGCTTAACTCATCTTTAACAACCTCTGAGAATAGACTAGTATTTATGCTAATTGTATATGTCCCTCCTTTTTCTGCAGGTTCTGGGGTAAAGACCAGCCCAACAGCTTTGACGGTCGGAACCAAGACTGTGTGGAGTTCTGGCACCGTGCAACTGGGAACGGCGACTGGAATGATGAGAACTGTAATTTGGAACAAAATTTCATCTGTGAGAAGTAGTTTGCCTGCACAGAAAGACATATATAGATATAGATATAGATATGGCTAGTACTGATAATAATAATATAATTTGTGTGTAGCATATAACAAAAATGTAAAGACTGTAAATTGGAGATAATGGTTCTATATGAATATTATGTGACCAATTTACAGAGACTGACACAAAGCAGCTACAGTAAGAGCTATAACCGGAAATGGTATATATTTTTATGATTTTTGTATTATAAAGTTACATTTAGGACCTATCGCCTTTCTTGTGCTAGCGCAGAAAGTCATTGTATTGTGGCTTAGCGGGATTGATACTCTCATATACATCTGCAAAATGCTTTAAAGTGATCATATTAGTGGTTTAGTTCATTTACGGAGTTTCAGCTTGCTTTAAAATGTGTCCTGAGCCACCAGGTCCTGGTCAGCCAACAGCCTAAAGAAAGACAAACGTGGTGAAAGTCAAATATTTTCAGTCAATAGGTGAATAGTTGTTTTGCTTATATTATATATCGTATTAACATTTTTTGTACATGTTGATTAATGTAAACACATACAATAATTGATTTTAAATGAGAGAATCCAGCTTGAGCCACCACTCTAATAAGTTAATCTTCATGCAAACACTTAATTTGATTGTGTATGACATTTAGGGACAACAAAACATATATAACTTCATTAATCTGTAGTGTAGTGAATATGATCCAAGTAATGTGATATGGAAGTATTTGTCTGTATGTATGGAAGCCTATAGTGGACTTTATTAAAATGGCAATGTTATATTGTGAAAACAAGAATGTACTATTTTCACACAGGACTACCTACTGAAATCTGAATTGAATGCCATTGTATAGCAATATCGCACTAACAAAAAAGTCATGACTCTAACAAATTGCCAAAGGTAGCCTATGGTGCCATGAAGATGTTTGACGTCCTACTCAAAGCCCAACTTTCTTTAAAGGACAGTGCAAAGAGCATTGTCAAAAAAATTGGGGCTTTTAAAAAAACGTGGGTTAAGTAATGCTTGCACAATGTAAAATAAGGCTACATTGTTTACATTACATTTTCATTTTCAAATGTATTTAACATTTGAACATTGTCCACTGTGAAGCAGATAAATAGTCCCAAAGATTATTGTCAAATGCTGTTTTTAAATTGTTGGAATATTGCTTTTTTTATTTCCACCTAAATAATTCTTGCTTACTTGTTACTTATATTTAATTTAATTTAATATTTGAATATTGCCCAATATGCAGCAGTATGACTATAAGAATGTCTCATACTTGAAACAGTCCCAATCAAGCAGATGGGTTTTCGAGTGTTAAACTCTCCGTAATTAAATACTCAAATGTGTTTTATTGTTTGTTATTTTCAAAACAAGAGAGGAACACCATCCACAGCATGATACAACAAACCAGTATTACATTTCAAGGTGGACAACTCTGTCACATTGTTGACTGAATCCCCTCCAGCTTTTAGACTGGCAGTCCCATCGAAATCCTACTCATTCCTTTTCAGACAGCCTTCGCATTAGATGAAGAGTGTGTTCTCGTTTCTCTCTCAGTGCTGTAGGCGTTCCTTTCCAATTTCTTTCTCCTTAGTTCCTCTTGAAAGATTTAAATCAATGTTTTACCTAGTGTTCACAGAAACTTGAATAATAAGGAATCTTCACCCACATAAACTAAATGTTATCTGAGCATGATCTATTAACTATAATAGATTAGATTACCAGCACATTTAATTTAAGGACGTTTTTCATACTTGTGACAAAGGTATACCACTTATACTGCCACCACCATTAACAATAATAATCATAATTTATGATGAAGAAATTCATAGTTTAAAATCAGATTGCAGCTTAAAGGCCCGGTACACTGAGTTTAACATATAAGGATACCTTTATTTGTAATGAAGAGTATTACCAATTCTGGAAAAAAAACAGCTAACAATGTCCTCTGTTGCTCTCGAGAACCTTTTTTGAATTTGACATAAATCACCTAGATCAGGGATGGGCAACTTGGATGGTGGTGGGCAGTGGCGGCTGGTGGAAAATATTTTTGGTGGGGCTATGGAAATGGTGACAAAACCATACTAGGGCATTTAAAATCAGGAGACTAAATACGAACATTGTGTGTGTGTGTGTGTGTGTGTGTGTGTGTGTGTGTGTGTGTGTGTGTGTGTGTGTGTGTGTGTGTGTGTGTGTGTGTGTGTGTGTGTGTGTGTCATACTTGCCAACCCTCCCGATTTTCGCGGGAGACTCCCGCATTTCTCCCGATTTCTGATAAAATCAGATTTACTCACGACTGTTTCCACTCGGACTTTAATATAGGTACACCATTGTTTGGTTTCCATGGTAGCGCGTCTCTTTAGCAGCGCGCGCAACTCAAAGTCTGAGAGGGTGAGGAAGATGACAACTGAACAAGAATCGACAACTCGACCCTGTGATCACTCCTTTCCTGTAAAATACAGGTCCAGCCCACACATATGCTCCATGGTGCTACAGGCATTGCCCTCACAGCTACAATAAGCATGCAAATGTTAATCTACAGCTCCGGCGATCCACTAGCACCGGAGTCTACACCTACAGACGCAGCCATCCCCTATAGCGTCACCTTGGATACGAGTCTAAACAGACACACAGGCCAGGGCGCTGAAAGGGCGCCCTTTGACCANTAATTCCCAGCCTGACTTATTGTCCCAGTCCGGCCCTGTTGATAGGTGTGTGGGCTGTCTTTCATTTTGACACACAGAACAATGTTATAATAAACATACATACATGTATGTTTATTATAACATTGTTCTGTGTGTCAAAATGAAAGACAGCCCACACACCTATCAACAGGGCCGGACTGGGACAATAAGTCAGGCTGGGAATTATACACCCAGCCAGGCCACTACCAGTTTTCTTTTGTGCCATTTTCCTGGATTTATTTGTCAATATTTACAGCGTTGCTGCCCATAGTGATAAAACTAAACTTTAAATCTACTGCCCACAAATATGGACATGGGTTACTATTTAAAAAAAAGAAAGAAAAAAAGTGCAAATCTATTTAGGAACCTATCCATGTGAACTTTTTTGTAAGTGGAGGTGGACCTCATTTCTCTAGGGGGGTTCGGGGGCATGCTCCCCCGGTAAGATTTTTTTTAAATGTTGGACTTAAATGCATCAATCTGGTGCACTTTTAGGGGGAAATGAAGAGACTACACCCATATGAAACAGAACTGTTCACATTTAAATAATCATAAAATCATGAGAACATGGCCATAACCAATAACATACCATATCCAATATGAAAAACATTGAAACTTGTTTATTTATTTGTTTTTGGTTCATTTATAGTTGTGAGTGTGTCTGGGCTCCTGAACCAGCCTCACCTGTCTCCCTCCTCTCCTCCCTGCTCCTCTTTGAGGCAGCAGCAAAGACTAGTTTTAGCTCTCAACAAGTTTTTAAAGTTTATCTTACCTTTTTTCAACTAGTTAATTTTTTATTTTGTATTACTCCCCTTTAAATGGAAATATCTGTTTATATAAATGGTGACCAAACCGTTTGAGACCCACTGAGAACTTAGACTAAGTTAACTATCTAAACACTCAGAGAGTCCTTTACCTCATCTGAGCTGTAGTTATCAGTCTGAAAGGAGAGGACTCTCCTCCATAGGGTTGCCAACCGTCCCGTATTTGCCGGGACGCCCCCGTATTTGAGCCAAAAGGGGCGTGTGTAAAGGGAAAAATAAAAAATATCTTTCTGTTTGCGCGCAATGCAGTGTGTCTGGCTGCGTGCCTGTGCTGACTTTTCGTACAATGTCCCACTGTCTGGCTGCCTGCATAAAGTCAAGTGCTCGGCGCAGTTGTCGGCGAAATCTCGCTCCTCTGTTTTCATTTAAACAGCTCCTTATATCTGTAAGCGCTGCTAGCTAGCACCAGATGCTAACAACAACAATACACGTAAGGTCTCTCTCTCTCGCGCCACACATACACACACCCTCCCGGTCCTCCCGATGGCCAGTCGGTGCCTGCCGGTGAGCGTGGAAGTGTGGTCTGGCGCAAGCAGGCAGCTGGAGCGGGGCTGTCAGCATCAGCTTGTAGATTGTATTTTAAAGTCGATGCGCTCTGAAACTACGGGGCGACCGAGGACAAAAAATACATATGCGTTAATCGCGTTAAAATAATTAGTGGCGTTAATTTTTTTTTTAACGCCACAAGTTAACGCGTTATTAACGCGTTAACTTGACGGCCCTAAAACANTAAATAAGATTAACTAATGATTAAATGTTAAAACATATTAGTTTAATAAATGGTTTTGCTATTATGTATCTGTGATTTCATATGTGTTCATATTATGCTTTTCGTACAAAAGAATGCTCCAAACACTGACGAGAGATGATTTTCTATTATGATTGGCTGTCTCAATCATTGTGATTGAATGTTTCAATCTTATTATGTTGTTATTAATGTGATTGTTATTGATGTAATTGATGTTGTGTAAGTCCACACTCAAATCTGAAGATTCCCATTGATTTAAGTACTGAACAAATTATTATTAGAGTAAGGTTTTTAGGTTATCAAAATTGATAAAAAGAGAGGAACTGTTGGGGAAATATTTTCCAAGGCCCATAACTTTGACCCAGTTCATCAGTTCATACTGTCCTGACTGAGCACACGCACCTGTAGCCTTAGCTGCTGTGCTCTCAGTGTTTTGTCTCCCTGTTCCTGCCTGTTGGCCTCAGCTGATAGAGGTGTTATCATTCTATCTTGTTATCTAGCATGTTGATTATTCTCTCTGAACTAGCTAAATACATGGGTCTGGGGTAGAGTTCTTCAGAATGTATTGTGGCATCTCAACCGTGTGGTCAAACCGTGGCCCGTGACATGTCGTGTGAATTCTCCGGCCAAAGCTCCAAATAAACCATCAATGTTTTCCATCAAAGCTCCAGCTCTCCATCGTGTCTCTTTGAGTCCTGACTCCAATTATTTCAGAAGTTTCCCCCACAGGTATAACATACTGTATACGTGCTGATATTTAAATGGTTTGTGATACTATTCACAGGTGAACAGTACGAATTGGCCAACTGTGTGTTGTTTGATTACATTTAATTTGACCATATTGAGGGTTAAAGGACAATGTAGGCTACTTTGTCAAAGTTGCCCTCCAGGAAACAAAAGAAGACATTAAATAGTAATAAAGAATTTAGGGAATAGTAGATTTCAATGTATTTTTAACCAATATTCATATTAGCCCATAGTGGACAGGTTGAGGCAATGTGAAATCACATGCAGTCCCTCACTCTGTGCAGCTGGTGGCAGTAATGCGACATTCAAGATAGATGTTAACTGCCTAATTTATGACGTAGAAGAAGAAGTTCCCACAACATTGAAAGTCATGGCGGCTTCCATCGAGAGTTTACTGGAAGAAATCTCCGGCGTCGATGATCCAATTGAAGAACTACAATGTTTAAAAACGGCTTTATCATCCATTCCTCTGCGGGACCTGAGAGACTCGGTGAGCGGGCAGAGATTCAACGTGATCTTCTCTCTGTTACACTCAGATGACAAGTGGGTTCATCACAATGCGTTGTGTTTACACTGTAAATAATGCTGAGTCAGTCAGCTGTTCGTGTTTAATGTTGGTGTCGCAGTAGGTCCAAATACAGGAAGAGAATGTTTGTTAGTGGGGTTTCTAGCTGTAAAAGGCGTTATTTTACCTTTAGTAGTAGGTGTAAGCAAGCTAGCTAGCTTACTGTTACTACGATGCTACTGCCCAGATGTAAACACTGACACATGTAATCTGTATTATTGGCTTTAAAACGGAAATGCAATCACTGACTCAACTTTATGGTGTTTTGAATGTGTTTGGATGTACAACAGAGCAGAATTAGATGCCTTTTTCAACACGGTCCCCAAAATAAATGTATTCAGTGCATATGTAGAGACATTGACTGCTACTGTTTATTTGATATGATATTGAGATTTACAGACTGTGCGGCACCCTTCCTTTGCTTTGACAAAATACTCTTAACGTAAATAATCGCTTAATTTAAAGTTATGTTTGATTACAGAACCAATCAATAAAAACATGATGCTAATGTTTTAATTAACATTACATTACATGTCACTTGTTAGATGCTTTTATCCAAAGCGACTTACATACTCAATGCTGTGGACAATCCCCACATGAGCAATTTGGGGTGAAGTGTCCAGGGACACAATGACATGCTGACTGCAGTGGGGTTTGAACCTGTGACCATCTGATCCCCAGACCAAGACTCTATCCACTGCGCCACACCCTGCCATGGCAAACTTAACATCATGTTAATAAAAGGGCCATATCTCAGCGGTTTCACTTTCTGAAATGTGGACACTTGCTGGTTTTACTATCTATGTCTACTATGAGAGACACACTTTAGGCCTTAATGCAATTTAAATAGGCCAGTTTAAACTCTTAGTTTTTGTGATGGTACTTTTCTTTTTTTTAAGGAACATTTCATAGACCAAGGGATTGTTGATTCATTTAGAACAGTGTTTCTCAAACTTTTTCATACGAAGGACCACTTAACCAATAAAAAAACACTCGCGGACCACCTAACTCCACAAATATAAAAAAACACATCGTTTTTCTAGAACAGATTACAAATCGCCTGAAAATGGTACAAACAAGTGGCAACATGTGTGATGAAGGTGTTGCGCTGGGCTATATCATGCAATCGAAAGTTAAACTTAACCTCGCCCCATTGCGAAGATATTCCCGCGAGAGTGCGTAAAACTTTAATTAATTAATTAATTTCAAATGTTACCAATATACCCACGGACCACTAGGGGGCGCTCACGGACCACCAGTGGTCCGCGGACCAAACTTTGAGAAGCACTGATTTAGAAAATAATTGGAAGGCAGCCGTTAGATACATTTAATAATTGTCTTTAAATCCCCATGCACCAATGTTATAACAATGCAGTTATACCTTTCTTTTATTCTTCTTGATTTTTATTTCATTGCCATTATTATCATAATGTACACAGTTATGTTTGCACTATCATCTCATTCATCATCTTTATAATCATAATTTGTACATCTTGTTTTTACATTTACATGTTATACTACTAATATTTTGTGGACAGCCTCTCCTTGCATATTCATGTTTTTTTTATTCGAAATGTCCCCAGGAGATAAGTTGAGTTGTTATTGACACGAGCTGTGTTTACAGGGAGCAGGTTGAGCTGTGTGTGGGAATCCTTGAACGCATCTTACTGGCCCTGGGCCCCGTGACCCTGGCCCAGAGCTACAGGGCAGAGCTGCAGGGCGGGCTGACTCACCCTAATGACACCGTCAAGATACTGGCTCTGACGCAGGTAGGCTGCCGTCACACAGCACAGAAATATATTGTGTTGCTTTTAAACCGCTCACCTTGAACATGTATGTTTTTTTCTCAGATTGGTCGAATGGTGGAGCATCCAGAAGCTTCCACAGAAATCCTCAACAACCACGACATTCTTGCAGCAACCATCTGCTGCATTGGGGAGGAGAGGATGGACGTGGCAAAGCAGGTAAGGACCCAAGCAAATAAATATGTTGCATGGGTTTTCAATGATGCTAGAGTGGGTGCAATCATTGTTTTGTTTTTTAGGCCATTCAGTCGCTGTCCAAACTGAGTCACTCCAAGCCCGGCTTAGACAAACTGTTCCAAACCGACCTGCTGAAAGTCATCAAGGATGTGATGGCCACAAGTGACATCATCAGATACAGGATATATGAGGTACGTCAATTATTTGATTGACAAACAATTGTATTGCAAACTATATTTATTTTAATGGAATTGGTGGAAATGAAAACGTATCACATGTAGAAATGTCGCCAGAATGTGCAATCTTAGAATCAGTAATATTAATATACACACGTATAACATCTCTCCTATTGATTCCCTGACAAATACTTTACATTCTGCTTGCAGCTGGTGGTGGAAATCTCGTCTGCATCTCCCATTTCCCTCGGTTACTGCGCCAAAAGCGGCTTTATTGCTCTGCTGCTTGGAGAACTGACAGGAGACGATGTATTGACCAGGTGATCAAATGAATCATAAGAGACAGCAACTGAGAAATGACTGCATGATAAGTGATGCTACAGACTGATGCAAGTTGGCCTGACTGCTTCCACAGTATTTACTTTTCTGACATTCTGTTAATGTGTATCTGTTGTTGCCTCTTTCTCCAGAGCTACATCTATTGAGATGGTCTCGTCTCTAGCGTACACTCAGCATGGCCGCAAGTATTTGACCCAGCAGGGAATAATGGAAAAGGTCTCCAACATGATCAAAGGAGCGGACACCGACCCCTTCTCTGCACTCTACATTCCTGGTGAGTCTCTTATAGAAAAATGCTCTCAGAAAATACAGGAATACTATGTTTAGGTGGCGTATTCCTTCATTTAATACACACTGAATATAACTCCTGTAGGTTTGGTGAAGTTCTTCTTAAACCTGGCCATCATGGACAGCCCGCAGCAGGTGTGTGAAACCTACCCGGTCTTCCAGAACAAGGTTTTTGAGATGGCTCTGGATCCGGACCCTGCGATGATCGGGGTGGCTCTGGACACTTTGGGACTACTAGGATCTACTGTGGAGGGCAAGCAGGTCTTTCTCAAAACAGGTTAGCTTGGCATCTTTTACTGAAGTTCTCCCAGGTTTCATTTCATAAAAAACAAATGAGCAATGCCCCCTTTAAGAGGGTTAAACCTCTTGTATTTATAGCTCTCATTTGGGTCCTTTGTAACCGTTGTTCTGTTTGTTTTAAGGAGAAAGGTTTAAGGCTGTGTGGTTGAGGATGAGTAAGATTGCTGGCGCTGGAGCTACAGAGCTCAGAGTACGCAGCCTGGACGCCATATCACAGCTTCTCACTCTACAGGTATAAAAAGAATCATAATCTTAAGTCATTTCCTTAAAAATAAATCATTTTCTGAAGCAAAAAAGTGGTTACTTATGCATCAATTATGTTTTATTGCAGCCGGAGCAGCAGACAGAGGACCTGTTGGCCCTGACGGAGTCCTGGTTCCTTCTTTTGTCTAACCAGCCCATGGACATGATCCGCAACATCAGCACTCAGCCGTTCCCAGAGCTGCATTGTGGGGCCATGCGGGTATTTACTGTGAGTAATCAGCTGTTTATAACACTGTCCCTGTGTCCCTGACCCGTTAATAACCCGTACAAAAACAAAGACTATAACTGTAACATTTGAAAGACTTTAATAATAATAATAATTCATAGCATTTATTAGAGCGTTTTTCTGAGTGCTCAAAGTGCTTTACATTACATATTAGACATATTAGACATGTAACAGTGAATACTCTGGACAATACCCATAGAAGCAAATTGGGGTGAAGTGTCTTGCCCAAGGACACAATGGCTTGTCTCAGTGGCGGCTGAGGCGGGTTTTGAACTGATGTTCCCCAACGCCCCCTGATCTGATGATCAACGCTCTAGCCCACTGCACCAAAGCCACTTCAGTCTTGCATAATGCTATTTACAGTGCTGCCGTAATATCTTCATCATGTGTATTTGTGTCTTTCCAGGCCATTTCCACTCAGCTGTGGGGTCAGAAGTTGATGATCAGCACTCCCAGCTTCATGGAGTTTATTTTGGATCGTTCCGCGGGGCAGACAAAGGATGCCAAAGACGCTAAGTTTGATCTGGTGGGCTCTCTGGTGTGTTCGTCGACGGCAGCGGAGATCCTGGGCAGCCAGCACTACATCCGTCTGAAGAGTTACCTTCGAGAGGGGGCGTACTACATCTCTGCTGTGGCCGCCGTCTGCACCGAGGGCGCAGACTGATCCAACACTCAGAAACTTCTTCAGAAACAATCAGAGTTTCTGCTTAATGCTTAAGTACTCAGTAAGTGCCTTGTGCAATCTAACTGTGGGTCAACATTTTATACTCGGCTATTGTTAAGTGATACATTATGCTGTTTTTTATTAAACAGCAATAATATTTTTTGGTAGCAAATAAAATAACTTTTATGGTATGATTGAGGAGATTATATTTATAAGTGAATTTATAATATATGACAAAATCAATGGAACCTGAGTGGTTATTATAATTGGTGTTGTAGGAACATAATGTTTAACACACGATTAGTTACTGAGTCTTTACTGAGTACTTAAGCAATCATTAAGCTAGAGGCTTATAATTGATGTACGCTCAAATGTTTACCATTCAGTCACAAATCCATACCCTCATATTTTACAGTTCTTTTAATCTCATTAATCAGACTCCCACACTACTAATTCTTCAGAATTGTTTTGTGTCACGAATATTTTTGTTAATTAAACGGAAGGATTTTTTTGTAATAAAGAAGATGCATTCTGACGCCCTACGTGTTTGTTTACTTTGATTTTGTACAATAATTGAATAACTAAAGTTCACCCAGAAGAGCAGTTCTAGAAAAAGAAAGAAACACCACACTAAATAACTTATATAACTAATAATGTAATGTTGTAATTGAGGAGACTTTTCTCTTAAGTACAAGTTTAGTCTCACGTCAGTAAGTTAATTTAAATATAAAATCTTGTAACAATAATTGATAATAATAATAATAAATTCGATTTTTATAGCGCCTTTTAAGAAACCCAAGGACGCTTTACAATGGGAGATAAAATAACCTGATTGAACCTGGGTGATTCTTAAGAAGCTTTGTTGCTCTGTGAGGACAGAAACATTGCAAAATACTTATTGCTGACATTTTTTCTGAGTCTGCTTCCCCCTCTTTACAAATGGGTATATAGCATTTACACTTCTTTAGGTGATCATCTTCAATTGGTAGTGCATTTGTATTGTATCGTGATTGTTGGAATGTAGCACCTAATGGTCCTATTAGCATATGAGCAGTTATTTGTATTCGCACCTAATGGACATTCCTCACATCTTCCAGAATCAAACTCTTATTTTCTATATTAATCTGCTTTTTAAAACCTTTATCTTTATATAACTCAGCTCAAATAATTATACAGACAATAAAGAGTCCTTTTCAACACTTTATTACACACAGTGTACAAACATTAGTTACAGAGGTTTATTTGGCTTGAACGTCCTCCAATCGGAAAATGTGTGGTTCAAACACCTACCCCCCCCCCCCTTGTAGTTAACATGTGGTTGTATTTAACCCCAGATTGTTCCACATAGGTTGGCCAATATGTGAATGTGAGTGTGGGAAGCTTGGTCAATATGAGCACCTTGTATGGCAGCCTTGTAAATGTAACAGCACTTTAAGGGGTCGTAAAAGCAATTTAGAAATGACCAAAACCAAGAGGTTTGGCCTCTGGGTCAACTTTTCGGGGGCTCCTCAGTCTCTCGTTGATCTTGTTCCTGATCCTGTGCCACTGATCCCCTGACAGAATTGGAAACCTCTGGTACACATAGAACTCGAGCTTCTGCTTCACAGAGTGAGGGATGGCCATCTTCCCTTTGGACCCGCTCCAGTTTGTCTTTTTGGCCCAGCTCTTGTAGGCCTCAAATGGAGTCAGAGCCATGAACAGCTGAGCAGCATACCCCTCAGGACGAGCTTCCCCTTTCACAACACAGTTCCTGTATAGTGTCTCCTCGCGTGCTTGAGAAACGGTTCTGATTTTCACATCAGGCAAGGAACCTCGGACTGGTTTGGGACCTTGGACTAGTGTGGATATTGGAACTAGTGTGGAAACTGGGACTAGCGTTGGACCTGGAACTAGCGTGGGAGCTGGCACTGTTGTAGTAGCGACGAAGCTAGCTGGGGCAGCAGGCTTGGATGCCGCTGGCTCTAAAGGTGGAGATTCTTCTGTTTTGACCGTGAATAGCTTCCTCCTGGTGAGGGTACTGGCGTCCAGCTGCTGGGGTGCTGGGGGGGTTTGTTTCAGCCTGCACTGATCCTGGAGCCCCTGAAGATTCCGTGTCTGGGCCTCCAGCGAGGAGCTCATCTCCTCCAGAGAAGACATCAGGAATGCAACCTGCTGCTCTGTGCCACTCAGACGTCTCTTCAGCTCACAGATCTCTGAGCTGTCGGGGGGGTACGGGCAGGACCTCTGCATTGCACGGATTGCAATCCCTATGGAAGCCTAAAAAAAGGAAATGATTAGTCCCACTGAGAAAACAACACTTTATGCACTTGATTGAGTTATGGTATTTTTGCTAACCTGTGTTGCATGACGTCGTCTACGCTTGTAAAACATGGATGACCCCCTTCTTCTATTGTTTGCTTCTAGCTTTATGGCACTGTTGACAACAGATTGGTCCTCATCTTCTGTTGTCTCATCCTGCAACATCTCCTCACATTCGCTCCTTTGAAGCTCTTGCATTCGTCTTTCTTCTTGGCTTTCATCTCTTGTCCTCGAGGTGAAGCCCCTCTTCTCATATTTCCAGCCCAGCTTCCTGCGGGCCAAGCGTATAGTGCTCAGGCCGAGGAGAACTCCAAAATCTGCTTTAATGAGGTGCTGCAGATCCTTTGCACTCAACGTGTTGTTTGTTTGGTCATCAATAGCCGCCAGGATCTTACTTTGGGAGACAATTAAGTAAGTTAACATCAAGTAAACTTTTCTCCTCAGTGGTGGAGTATGATTGAAAACAGGTATTTTACTTTAGAACCAACACACTGCTACTACAAATGTAAGGAAGTGGTTTTCACTAGGCAAGGGAAGGGGAAGCTCAAATGTAACCCTGAAAATAGGTTTAATAAATGTACTGAAACGTTGACTTTAATTAAATGTATGATGTCATCACATAAATGTATTAGGTTCATTGGAAGCAATACTTTTAAATGCTTTCAACTAACTCAACTGTGTTAGGATAATACATTAAATCAAAGTAACCGTTTCAGTTTTTCAGTGTGTTATAAATAAAGTTCTCACCGGTGCAGTTTGCGCGGCCCGGTGCGGCGCGCTGGTTTCTCCCTGAAATGGTTCCGCAGAGCGCTCAGGGAAATGTTGATATCCAGGCTGACGAAATGCTGCTGGATCTCCCGAGTGGATTTTCCATTTTCCCTCATCAGACAAACTTCTTTCGACCTCTCTCTGTTGATGCGAGTCATCTCTGCTGTTTGGTGATCCTGAGTTATGTGAAGCTATAGCCGCTTTACGCACATTAAATGATAGCGAACAATAGTGGGTGTATTCCAACACAGCCTTGTGATTGGCTAATATGTGCAGGAAAACCAGTTTTTCCTCTCTTTTCAAATGTATATAAATAATTATACCTTTATTTGGGTGATCAGGTTGACTTGAAGGTATAGATAGGCCTAGCAGTTATTTTCTGTTGATAACGATGAACGCTGAGAAACAGAAATAAAATAGTAGGCTGTGGTGACCACCTATTAATACACTGGGACATCATTCATACATGGAACTACAGTTGGGGCTATTGTTCCCACACGGACATGTTATGTGTTTACTATATATGTTGTGTGCCCTCCTGACTTCACTCTCTTTTCTTCCCGGACTGCAACCGGACAACATGTCCTTTCCAGCTCTTAAATAAAGTACCCTTTTACACCATCATTGCACCGCCTCTGACTCCCTATCTCTCGGCACTACAAGGCCTATTTACTTAAACGACGACATGCCTCTTTTGAAATGTAAGCTTCACATTATGATCTTCCTCAGCTTGATTTGGATATTAAGATATTGTCTGCTGCTTTAATATTGACTGAAACTGTGGAATTTAAAACACATGTTCATAACCAGATTAGTTGACGAAATATTCTGTTTATTAAATCAGTGTTATCATATTTGATTGTATGGAAGGAATGTTTATTTAAATAGCATATTTCCGTTACAGGGGAATTACATTTTTTTATAACAAATATCTTAAATGCCTTTGTCTGAATGTCTTTCATTTTTGTAAAGAACCTTGAATTGCCTTGTGTTGAAAGGTGCTATATAAATAAACTTGCCTTGCCTTGCCTTAAAAGCATTAAAACATATGAAAGAGAAATCCATTACTGATTTTAAAGTATTTACAACAGTGTAGAAATAAAACAAGACACAACAGGTAACAATACAAGAATTAAAGATAGTGGAAATATGCATAGTCATAGGTTTAAGTAAAAGAGAGCAGCAAACACAAAGTCTAAATGTGTTTCCCACACAGAGCCTTTCTTTTATTTGAGTAGTATAATCTAATGTAATCAGTTCATGGAAATATTACTATACTGAAACTTATTTAGCAAATTGGTCATGTTATTCTCAGTGATTCTGACACGGTTTGATGAGCCTGAAACCCTTCATTAACATTACAGGTCACCTTTTAGTCGGCGGCGGATGGGCCATCAGTGTGGGAAGTAGTGATATACAGTGCAAACATACACTACCATGTCACACTATTAGCATCAAAATAAAGCCCACCAAAAGCAAAAGTATTCATTGGGGAGAGACGCTCATTTCAGAATCAAATGGGCCATCATGGAAGATGTGCCAGATACAGTTGGACATTTGAGCTCTTTCAAATCCTGCAGCCCATCACAAAGACTGATCCTGTTTTGTTGTTCAACACTGAATTTCATACATTAATGCTTTTGATTGGTAAGATAAGATAAGAAAAACCTGTATTGATACCCGTAACTGGTAAGTGCATGCATGGTGTTAAATGTAAAAGTGTGTCAGAAAATTATTATGTCAACATTGTGGCAACTGGCAAAGCATATATAACGCATAACTAACAAGGGTGATAATGCAAATATAAGTTATCTGCAGCACAGGCAGTATGAGAAAAAGGAAGACTCTTTTAATAATAATATAATAATAAAATAGATTAATTTTGTTAGCGCTTTTACAGGTGCTCAAAATCGCTTTACAGAGATATTGAAAAGAAACCTTTTGAACCTTAAATCATGGAAACATGAAGAGTAGAGGCACAACATACTGATATGAACCTGAACATGAGCAGTGTAGGCCCCTTTAAGCAGATGCTGATGCCAATACTTGCATACAATATTTTCTTGTGCAGGTTCAGGCTTTCTCTTGTGTTATAACCACATCCTCCAAGTTTTGCATTATGACAATTAAAAGTAGGCTAACCTAAAGAAAAGAACCCAAATAATCATATAAAAGTAACATGGCTCTATGAACATATACAACATTTTCTTTAAATCTGCTGGCATAACCCATACCCTGCTGGGATAATATCACAGATGTGACTCCTATTAGCAGAAAAATGAAAGAAAAATACTTCCCACTCCAGTCACAGCCTGACTCAATCCCAAACATCCATCATGATGTTTAAACTCTTCAACCTCATGCCACCATCACCTCAGTGAATCAGTCTCCCCTCCCACGTCTCCTCCATACTTTCTCCAGTTTGCGTCATCAAATAGGCAAAGAAAAAAAAAAGAAACCTCCATTCAGTCAATCTTTCCTCCTGACGTCTTAATTGTATTTCTCCTTCTCGCAGTTCTGTGAGCGTGATGTCATTCGGCTTCTTTCCCTTCTCACATATTTGTATTTCATTTTCATCACTGTCGCTTAATGATTTTGGCTCTTTGCTGAGAGATGAATTTCTAAAACAGACACTGAAACCATTTAATGTTGCAAAACATTTGTACACCCAGTTTGTCTGAACATGTCAGCTGTTTCTCTTGTTAGGATTTACCAAAGTGAGGCTGTGGTTCTGCACTGAATGATGCACCGTCAGCCAGGGCCGTGGGAAGTAGGGGTGCTGAGGGTGCTGCAGCACCCCCTGGTGGAGGACAGGGGATCTGCACTTCCACAAGATATAATAAGAAAAAAACGAATTTTCAGCCTTGATGTAACAACATTCATAATTAAGTAAAGATAACACCCTTTTCACCCCGGTTACATTTTCCATTTGCCCTGTAAGATGGGCGCTGTAAGTGATGAAAGTGGGGGATGTTGGCTTAGCAGGCGCCCGCAGCTCACAGCCAAAGTGAGAGAGATAGAGAGAGGGGATACCGCGGGGATACCGCGGGGACACCGCGGGGATACCGCAGGGATACCGCGGGGATTGTTGTTAGCTTCTGCTGCGCTTACGGATATAAGAAGCTGTTTCTACAATAATGTGGAGGGAGAGTCCTCTCCTGTCAGACTGAGAGGCTCAGTGAGGTAAAGGACTCTGAGGGCTTAGATAGTTCACTTTAGTCTAAGTTATCTCAGTGGGTCTCAAACGTTTTGATCACAATTTATGTAAACAAATATTTCCAAGGCACACCTTTATAATTATTAGGATAAATAAAAACAGGTTTGAAATCATTCCAATGTATACTATAGGACAGTGAACCAAAAATATCGTTTAAAACTGGAGAGATTTAAAAATATACATAAATAAATAAATGTTAACTGGTAAAATAAGATATGAATGAACAACACAAATAAAATAAGTTACATGTATTTGTTATTGGCTATGGTAGGTTATTGGAAATGTTCACATACCTACTTATTTGATTAATAAAATGCAAACCGATCTTTTTCATATGGGTGTTTAGAGTTGTACCCCCTAGATCAGTCTCTAATTGGGCGCTCAAAGTGCACCAAATTGAAGCATTTTACTTTAAAATGTTAAAAACATCTTCCCGGGGGGGCACCCCCGGACCCCCCTAGAGGATGTGAAGTCCACCCCCCAATTAAAACATGTTATAATACTAAATACATGTGAAGCCTTGTTATATAAGCTGTCCACCATGTCAATATGTTTATCTTTTTGTAATGTATTGGTCTTTTGTAGAGGTGTTTCCTTGCCAGCTAAAATCTTGCCTATAGGGCAGCAAATTGGTCAAAACCGGCCCTGGTGTCATCCCTACAGCACCCCCCATTTGAAACATGTTCCCACGGCTATGACTTTAAATCACACAACTGAAATATTAAGCGAAGATTTGGCATTTTCATGACTCATTTCCCCACCTCCACATACATACTAATAACATCAGACAAAAGTGTTGCTCAATGGGGGCTGTCAGTTATATATGTGAAACTCCTGCTGCTTTGCTTGTAAAGAGAAACTTGATTTATGCTTTACCTATGGAGGGGTGAAATATGTAGTCTAACTTGTTACACACAGGCTTCATAGTGTCTAACTGGCCATATCACTGGATCAAAAATATCTAGAAAAAAGTCAAATCTGATATTTTCCTTTAGCCTACAACCATTTGCCTATAGGCGTTGTGTTGGAACATTAATTTGTTTATAATTTAATGACAAACCCTCCAGAAGTTGTTGAGATTTTTGAGTCAGTTTACATTGCCGTTCCTTGAGCCACCTTGCTAACATGGTTTATACTAAAGCAACAGTCCTGAATAGAGACTGAATCTGATATGTGAAGCACAGTGGCTGTCAGATGTTGCTCCTGCCACCCATTACTCAGTGATGAACTGAGACCCATCCACTTTAGCTGATGTAGTGCTACAAGGGGAAATCATGGAGATAAAGGACTTGTGTACAAGACAACCTACAAACATGGTGGGATCATTTAGTATGCCAGCTGGGAACCGTGTCCCTTAAGCACGTCAGGGACATTTTATGGACCAGCACTAGATTGTGTTTCAGGTAAATCATTGGAGAAGGAGGAAGTGCTGTTTCAAAGGTGCTGGGCTGCAGAGTGGGGTCTGTGATGACTGACTTCATCCCCAGAATGTAAAAAATATTCTGTTCATCCTCTGGAGAGTTTAAATGGTCTGTGACTAACTCGTTGGGCAAAATGTAATAATGTGGTGCACACACCGTATGCCAATAGCAGTTGATGTATTGCACATTTTGTTCAAACATCAAGCAGGAGCAGGGGAGGGGATGTCACAGTGGTCAAGGGTGGCCATTCATCTTAATCAAAGAGGGTGATGCAATTGACACACAAGGAAAGCCTATGTTTGTGCTTGATCTGACAATTATAAGACCAAGTAATAATCATGATCTGATTCACCATAAAAACACTTTGTGAGAACATTGGGTAACATTCAAGAAGATAAACCATCACGGTGTAACACAAATAAACAAACCGTGTCTGAAGATAAATGAGTTTTAATGATACACTTATCAGGAAAAGGCAGGGGATCACCAAAGTCATTACCGTCTGCAACTACAAATGTTTCTAAATGATTTCATAGCAATCCATCCAGCAGTTATTATTATTATTATAGTTAAGATATTTA